AAACATAAGACCCAAAAATCTAAAAGGTCATGGCCATATGAGGATTTTGTAAAGAGCAAATTTAAATTCGGATATGAACCATGTAACCAATGCATTCCCCCAAATTCTATGACAATCCAAGGAGGAAATGAATTGGGTATATAAAATTTCAAACTTTTAAATAATTATTCTACTTTCTTTACATGCAATTTTCCTTAAAATGGAGGAATTTTCTTTGTAACTATTTTTACTAATTAATATGTATAGAATATATAAATATTTGATTTTCTAATCAAGTCCTTTACGATGATATAACAAGTATCAATGAACTATTGATAATAATAGACTTGATTTTATAAAACAAGTATTCAATTATGTACATGAAATGTAAGTAAGAATTAGATATCAAACTGTTATTGAGGAATATATCAAAGATAAGTTAAAAAAGAGAAGGGAAAAAGATAATACAAAATTCTTTTATCGAGATTCGCCAACCGCTTATGCCTGTATCATCTTTTTCAAGCCGAGCCAACCACATGAGATTCTACTGCTCTATTCAATCTTTTACAGCATGTTAGTTGTTATTGGTAGTTAATTCACCAAAACACTTGTGGATCCTCAACAGAAGAACTTTCATAGATCTCATCAAATTTTTCAATTGTTTTATTATAAAACTCCAGATATATAAAAAAAAATATTATAATTTTCCTTATCAAAGACTTGATTTACAAGTAAAAAGTATATTTAGAGCTCAATTGAGACTTAAGAGGAAACAATAATTTTTTTTTTTTAAATTTTCAAATTTGATCCTTAAAAAACTATCTAAAATTTGTTATGATAAAATATTTATATGAGAGAAAGTTAATAAGAGTCACTTGAGACTTTTTGAAACCATATTTTATTTTTTAAAGTTGTAAATACAAACCGTATTTTGTGATATAATCATATTGATCGCGTACTCGGACACACCTCCCACTGAACTAATAGACCATCCAATAGGTTCCCTGTTGGGGCCTCGTTATGCCAAACCATGTGGCGACTGGGGGGAAGGGAAGGGAAGCGAGGGGAAGGGAAGGGAAGGGGAAGGGGGAGGGGGAGGTTGAAAAGGGGATCATATCATATCAACTTGTATCATAAAAAACTATTTTTAACTTTATTTTCTAATATAATTTTTTTGATACATTTATCATATAAATATAGTTTGATTTAAAAACTGTATAATTTAGGATATGACACGAAGAAAACACATTCCGTTGTATTTAACATTAAAATGTTCTTTTTCTGTGCTCTGTGAAATATTTTATTTGAATAATTTTTTAT